AACTTAAAAAATTAAACATCAACATAACATGTTGATGTTAACATCAACAAACAAATAAAAAACTGAACATCAACAAATAAGAAACTGAACATCAACAAATAAACAAAAAACTGAACATCTTTCAAATGAAGAAGTAAAAATATCCAGTTAATACATGAAAAAGTGTTCAAAGTCCTTAGATATCAGGAAAATGCAAATCAAAACTTCCTTGAAATTGTATCTCCCTTGAAATTCATTCAGAATGGCTATCATTAAGAAAACAAGAACAAATATTATCAAAAATGTGAGAGAAAAGGAACTCTTCTTTCCTTTTTTTTTGGTGGTGTTGGGGTTTGAACTCAGGGCCTCGTGCTTGCTAGGCCACTCTACCAGTGAAAAGGAACTCTTACTTACCTTGGTGCAAATGTAAATTACTCCAACCACTATGGAAACCAGTAAGGGTATTACTCAAAAAACTAAAAATAGAACTACTATTTGATCTAGCCATACCATTTCCAGAAATGGCATATACCCCAAAAGAATCAAAGTCAACTTACCACAGAGATAACCGCACACCCATGTTTATTGCCACACTCTTCACAATAGCCAAATCAGCTTAGGTAACTGATGGATGGATTAAAAAATGTGGTATACATACACAATGAAGTTTTGTCTTAGCCATTAAGAAAAATGAAATTATGTCATTTGTTGGAAAATGGATGGAACTAGAGATTATGTTGAGTGAAATAGCCACTCCCACAGACAAGGATCACAAGTTTTTCTCATTTGTGGAAGCTAGGTGAAAACAAAACCAAGCTAGGAACCCAATGTTATGAAAGTAACAGGAGGACTAGGAAGGAGTTAGGGAAGGGGAGGGAGAGGAAGGGGAGGACACAAGAAAGGGTACTAGAAGGGTGAGTACGATCAGAGTGTATGGTATGCAGTGAAATGTCATGTGCACAATTTAGCATATGTCAATAAAAAAGAATTACAATGTGAGTTTATTTTGCACTCAATGTATGGGACCTAATTATATCATCACTAATCTATATCCTTTAACCATAAAATCTGTCCCTTCTCACTCAGAAAATTGGCCCATCTGTGTCACTCCTGGCTGTGTCTGTGTGAGAGTCTTACCCTTCTTCAAACTACCCAGGGTGTAGTGTTTTTTAGTTATTATTGTGGTAAAATACACATAGCATGAAGTTGACCATCTTAACCATTTTTGAGTACAGTTCAGTTACATTAAGGACATTTATAGCACGTTGCACCCTTCACCACCATCCACCCCTGGAAGTCTTTTTACCTTGCAAAACTACAACTCTATACCCACTCAACACTAACTCCCCATTCCCCCACAACAGCCTCTGGCAATCATCATTCTACTTCCTGTCTCTGTGAATTTGACTACACTATGTATCTCATTATAAATGGATCACATGGTATGTTTCCCATTGTAACTGGCTTGTTTACTCAGCACAGTATCTCTTGTGTCATCCTTGCTGTAGCATCTGTCAAAATTTCATCCCTTTTAATGACTAAAGAATATTCCACTGTATTCCACATTTTGCTTATCAGTTTATTTGTTGATGGACGCTTGAGTGTTTACCTTTTGGTTATTGTGACTAATAATGACATGATATGGATGTGCAAATATCTGTTTGAGTCCCTGGTATTGAATCAATACCCAGAAGTAGGATTACTGGGTCATGTAGTCACTCTGGATTTAAATTTTTTGAACTGGGGTTTGAACTCGGGGCCTTGCAGTTGGTAGGCATACTCTTCATCACTTGAGCCACAGCCCCAGCTCTTTATGTCTCAGTTATTTTTCATGTAAGGTCTTGTGTTTACTCCTGGGCTAGCCTGGACCACAGTCCTCCTATTTATGCATCCTGTGTAGCTGGGATAACAAGTGTGTGCCATCAGGTTCAGGTTCAACTTTTGCTGGTTGAGATGGGGGTCCTGAGAACTTTTTCCCTGGGTTGGTCTCAAACCATACCCCTCCTGACCTTTGCCTCCTGAATAGCTAGGATTGTAGTCATGAGTCATGGTGCCTGGCAGTCTATGATTATTGTTTTGAGGGCCCATCATATAGTTTTCCTACTAACAGTGCACAAGGATTCTAGTGTCTCTACATTCTCACCAATGCATGTTATATTTTGGATATTTTTTCTTTTTTCTTTGCTTGCTTTTCATAGTAGCCATCCTAATGAATGTAAAAAGTGTATCTGATGATTTTAATTTGTATTTCCCTAGTGATTAACTAAGAGTAGAGTAACTTTTCATGCGATTATGGGCTACTTGTATTTCTTCTTGGTGAAAATACTTAAATTCCCTGTCCATTTTTCAGTCTGGTTGTTTTTGTTGTTGAATTGTAGGAGTTGTTTACATATTTTGAATACTAACCCTATATCAGACACATCTTCTCCCATTGCATTATTGGCCTTTTCCCTGTGCTGTGCCCTTTGTACACATAGAGTTCATTGTGGGCTGGTCAAATTTATCTATTTTTCTTTTGTTATCTGACCTTCTGGTATTAAATAAAAAAATTATTGCCGAATTCAATATCCTGAAGCTTTTCCTTTGTGTTTTCTTGTAAAAAAGTTTTATAGTTTTAGGCTTTATATTTAGGTCTTCAATTCACTTGAGCTTATTTTTACATGGTATAAAGTAAGGGGCTAACTTCTTGAGCATGTGGATGTTCAGTTTTGCTGAAAAGACTGTCATTTTCCCCATTTAATTGTTTTGCATCTTTGTCAAAGCTCATTTGTCAAGGCTGTATCTTGCATCTTTGAATTATAAACCATGAAACTCCTGTGGCCAGTCTTCTTTCTGGGTACCACGGCTAGAGTGACTTTTCTAGATGCTCCATTGATGTTAGCAAGACTCTGCTTAAAAGAGAATCTACTAACAGTTTAATTTCCCCTAGCCTTTGTGTATACATTTTATGTGAATGTGCGTGTATTTGTGTGTGTTTATTCCTATCTCTTGTCACCTTTACTGCACTTACTGTGCTCCATGTGTTTGAGACTTTCCACTTTGAAGTTGTTTAACAGGTTTTATGCCTGTGGATCCTTTTAATTTACTGTGAATTAAATTTTCTGGAAGACCCACATCTAAAAAATACTCTGAAACAACCAGAAAAGTGTCTTGCAAAAAGTACTTAACTGACAGTTATTGAATCTAGTAAAAACTGAAGAAAGAAGTAAGATGACACTTATTTCTCATAGCAGTTAGCAAAGCTAAGTCTAAAATGAAGAATTCTGTTTTTATAAAATTCAAGTACCAAATGCAAGTGCCTAGAATTGTGTTGGGCTATTTTCCAAAATTAGCTCTTTGGAGCTAGTATGACTTGGTTGTGCTGACGGGTGGTAGAAGAGTTGACTCAAATTCATCATCATTGTTTCCATTTCATGGACATCTGAAAATCATTGCCCAGGTTGCTGACGACTGCATATGCAATTTTACAGGATTCCAAGAGCTCAGAGTGACCACTCGTCATTCCAAAAGGAGAGAACAGAGTCCTTTTGTGAATGAGCAGCTATTTAGTGAAACTGAAGGAGGCTCATTGAAATAATTGCATATGCAATCACTCTGGTTTCCATAGAAACTTCAAGCGGAAAGGTTCATGAGTCTTGTTTATATTCCTCCTGGGAAGAAATATTCTGAAATTGGCTCTGTCCTCTCCTTTGTCAGTCCCTGCATGGTGATAAAGGAAGCATCCTTCCTTTTAGAGGGTAGGCTCCCTGACTTAGAGGTCTGCAGATTCCCAACACTGTTACAGTTTTCACTCAATTCCGTTGCAGGCCAGGGAAGAGGAATTGATGATCTTTCAAGGCAAATTAGCCAATTTAACTCCTGAAACACAATGTTAGAAATAACAAGTTCTGATTATAGAACAAATCCCCTCACAGTTGAGAGAGTAATTCTTTGACTTATTAAAATTCTATTTTGAATTATAGGATTTTACTTCTGTGATAGATATGTATGGATGTGTCTTTAAGTTATAATGATAGTTTTTTGTTATTTCCCAAGTTCGTGTCCTGGAATGGTAAATAGTTGAAAATGCCAGACCAGCAGTTAAGAGTTAAAGCAAGCAGAAAGTTTATTAAAAGGATTGGAAAGCTCCCTGATGGGTGGGACTTAGTGAAATGGCTAACTAAAAGAAAAGCTGAAGTCCAGGAGAGGATATAGGGAATTAACTGGCTTAGGTCCAACTATTCTATCTTGAAGTTTATCTGTAATAGGCTGTCTAGTTAACTTCTTGCTGAACGCCGCCATCTGGCTGCACCCCCATCTTTATTGGAGTGGACATTCCATGAGGGTCTGGTCAGCTTGCCCTTGCCTTATGACCCACTACCCACATTCTGCAGCTGCATCTTTTACTTTAGTGGGAGGCTTGTCATTTCTTGAGAAGCCCATTGCTTCCCACACCTCTTTAGATGTCTGCTTTTTAAGTGCCTCTCTCATCCAAAACAGAGTCACTTCTGTCATTGCTCCCTTTACAATAAGCCTAACAATAAACAAGGTTTCTTATTTTTCTTTGGTGTATGAACTCACTAGAACTTCTTCACTTTGGAATAAGAGCTAGACAGCTATGAGATAGATAAATAACTCAAGTACATCACTGATATTGTTTAGCTTTATAACAAAACATTGACATTAAATTACATATGCAATATTTTATATTTTATCTCATATCTTTGCCATAATATCAACTTAACTAATGTTACAGAATATATTTACAGTCATCTGTCTCTGGCAACTTGAAGTGAGTAAAATTCTTATCTTCCTAGAACTTAAAAAGTATAAATAAGGCTCTTTCATCCTTTTAGCATCTTAAAAAGTAAGACAAGCCAGGTTTGCATTGTAAGTGCAAGACATTTCCCAATGAAAAATCCATCCATTGTTTTCCAACATAGTCTTTTGATGTTAGTGCCTGAGTTCTTGGGACATTGACTTGTGCTCTCCTCTTTATCTCTGTCACAAAGTACTAACATACATGTATTTTTTTTCCACAGTCAAACCAACCGTGATTGATGTGGACATTTATGTTAACAGCATTGGGCCCGTGTCATCAATAAACATGGTAAGAAGCTATTACATTTTCTGATCTGTGACTCTTGAACCCCTTCTTGGTTATATCCTTATTGTGAATTTCTGTATAGCATTTATCATGCACCTTTACAACCTACAATTCACTCCTTAAATCGGTAGCATTTATTGGTATTTTAAATGAACTGGTATTAAAAACATCACCAGGGACAGCTTGTGACGTCAGCAGTGAGGCATTGCGCTGATGATCGAGAACCATCCCCACCTCACCACCACCCTCTGCACACACGTGCTTATAGCACATAGATTTCCAACTGAGATTATTTGCAGTTGTGCAGCCACTGGTTTTATCTGACCTCATTAATAATAGGGATGGATATAAATAATAGCTTGTTACTTTTATTCCCTCACTCAAGTATCTACCTTGTAGTGTTTCTCAGAAAGGACCCAAGATTACCAAATTATATTTGGTCTTCAGTTTGGTCTCTGAGGGTAAATCAACTGCCATTGATTAATTTCTTTATTTCAGGAGAAAATATGGAATCAGATATGTGATGGTTTCCTGAGTAGGGGGTTCTCACAGACTTATAGCAAATTGAGCTCTATAACTGTTTAGTGGGTATAATCCCTTCCCCACTAGGTGGGGGTACTTATCAATTACTAAGCAAGTGTTGGTGTGTTGCATTCTGTTGGACACAAGTCTTCTACAACTGCAGTTGAGATGCACCTCCCTGCTGGGTTCATGTAGGGTTTCCAGAGTAGGTCTTGCATTTATAGCCTGAGGTGGTATTGTGAATGTCTCCTTACTGGGGCTTTCTCACTGCCATGCCTTTGTGTCTGTACTTGGGGGATATGAGTTTAAGGGTAAGGAATGGACAAAATGCCAACTTACATGCCTTCTTTTCATTGCAGTGTACTAGGGACAGAAAAAACATCTCCAGAATTAGCAACAAGATCATTGCTTCTCACTGCCACATTTAAAAACTGTTCTTTTCTTTTGTGATATTAAAGACTCCATGTAGGGGTAAAGCTATATTGTTATTAAAAAATAATTTCGGGGCTGATGGTAGCTCAGAGGTAGAGTGTTCTTAGCATGCGGGAAGCCCTGGATTTGAGCTCCAGCACCAAAAACAAAACCCTTAAATAAAAAAACAAACAATGTCCGTGCTGCCCAAAAATTGAAGAATAGAGGCTAAATGTATAAAGGAATTATTTTACACAACTTATGGGTTATGTATTACAATCAAATTGTGATTGTAATATTCCTTTTCCTGATAAGTAATTATTCGATTAAATCATTTCTTAATGTATTTGCTTCTTATTCTGAAGTTGTATTTACTTACCTTTTTTCCACAATATCTTATTTAGAACCTTTATGTCTAATACAAATTTAAGTCTAACCCTCAAAGAAAAAGTACCTTTGTAGCTACATAGTTCTAAAATTATTTCCACAAAAGGGTATGCATTTGTATATTTAAGGACTTTCATGAACTACCGTAATTTTGAGATCTACTTTGTGCTCAGTATTAAACTTTGCTATTGGAATTGTTGAGAATTACTATGTGGAAATCACAGATACCAGAGGATGACCCTAAGTGATAGCCACCCACAGGTGACAAGGACTTTCCTAAGGCAGGTTCTTTCCTTGGGAAGATGGCAGGAATGGAATAGATGTCTCCAGTGGGTTGTTTCATTCTGAAACTTGACTGACTGCAACTCACTGGTTGGGACAGCCTGGACTGTCCCTTGGTTAAAATCAAGATGGTGGTGTGTGTGATATGACTGGGGAGGAAGGGCTGAGGTGGTAAAGAAGGCCCAGGACATGGGTGCACAGGGTGGATCCTGGGCCTGCTGGACTGAGGCCTTGAAACCATGGTGGAGATTTGGACTGCATCTTGAATCTTTCTCCTGACATTTGGGAAGCACAAAACCCCACTTCCTCCTGAGATATGTGCAGACTATATTTCATGAGATCAGTTTAGATCCTATAAAATCTCCAGTTAATCTTCTCTTCATCCTTTTGAAGAAAAAAAAATACAAGGTGACATGCAGTGGACATTAAGGATTCAAACCATGAACTTTGATCCTTTCATCTAAGTATAAGGGATGACCATAATCAAAATGGCCGGAGGCATTGGGTGCCAAATACTGCCGAAGAAAAATCTATGGACTTCAGTAAGAAGTCAGACAGCAAGTGATGAATGTTAGATTTTAAACAGGGATTGGAGCCCAAAGCTTTTTCAATTAACCTCCTCATTTTAATATATTGTCCTGAGTATCTTGAAACTCCACTTAGTCTGATTTATTTCCTAGACTGCGTCTCTACTATAGAGAAAGGGTGGACCCATACATGTAGCTTTCTGTTACTTTGAGAAATTGGAGCTGCTCTCTTGGCAACCATAGAGAAACTGAATCACGACGGCAAAAGTTTGACTCTGGAAATAGTGACATGTTTATTGTCAGTTCTCAGCTGAGCTAAAGTTGTCTAGGCCAGTCCCACATCTAATTTCACAAGGAAAAGATAGCATACACTAATCTACCTCAGCTCAGCAAAGCACAGGAGATAGGCAAGGGTTTGCTTAAAAAATGCACATGCAGACTTGAATATGTAATTACCCCATCTTCTGGGTGGATTTCTCTGTGTCTATCTTTGCCCATTCACTAAACAGTGTGTTGGGCACTGTGCTGGGTGCAGGTAAGACAATATGAAGGAAGTCCTGCTCTGGAGGAAAAAAAATCCATAAATACATGGGTGGGTGGTGGTGAGGGAGAGTGGGTGGAGTGAAGTTAGACTCAGTGCTGTGCAAAACCAAGGACGGAGTATCTGTCTGACTTATGGGAGGGCTCCAGGGCTTCTAAGGCAGGATTCTCAAAGCTGCTCCTAGAAGGATGAGTATTTCTTACCTTTACACTCAGATCACTTTGCAGGGAAGTCTAAATGACAGAGGTATCTTCTCACATTGCTGGATGCATCAGATAAACCCACCTACGAAGCTGAATGACATGGTTTCAAAAGAATACATCACTAAGTAAGCCAGGCCTAAAAGATCAAAGATCACATTTCTCCCCATATGTAGAAACTAGACCTATAACATAAATGTACACATAAATACATGTGACCTTATGTACACACACACACACACATACATGTATTGAGAGAGGAACAGAGAGAGAGAGAGAAATGTGATTGTGTTAGTGGGTGTGGGTGAGAGGATCACAGGAAGGTGGAAGAGGGAAAAAGAATGTGAGAGAGTGAAAAACACTGAAGCATTGCATCTGTGTTTGACAAAAATATAACACAGTGCACTGTAAGTCGTTGAATAACAGGAGAAGGGTGATAAAGAAGAGTAAGTAATGGGAGTTATAATCTGACTAAAGCACAGTATATCGTGTCTGAAATGCCAAGGTGAAACTCCCTGGGGCATCAAAATGCACATAGAAAATTTTAAAAATGAAGGATGGAAGCTAAAACAAGTCCTTTCTGGGAGTGGGTACCAGTGGGAGGTGGGAGGGCATAAAGAAAATGTGATGGAGGGCAGTATGGTGGATGTATTTTTGTATTCATGTATAGAAATAGAATAATGAAACCTGTTGAAACTGTTCTAAGAAGGGGGAAAGGGGAACGAGGGAGAGTGATAGAAAGGGTCAATGATGGAAGAAATGATTCTTAATTAGTTAAGATGTAAGCACATATGTAAATGTCACAGTGTATTCCCTCTGTATAACTATTCTGTGCTACTTAAAAATGTAAAAAGAATATTAAATGCTTACCTGGGAATCATGGACCTTACAAATAATAAAAAGTTTAAAAGTACTGCTGGGTGCCGGTAGCTCACACCAATAATCTTAGCTACTCAGGAAGCAGAGATCAGGAGGATTGGGGTTCAAAGCCAGTCTGAACAAATAGTTCACAAGACCCTATCTTGAAAAAACCCTTTACCAAAAAAGGGCTGGCGAAGTGTCTTAAGGTGGAGGCCCTGAGTTCAAACCCTAGTACTACAAAACAAAACAAGTTTAAAAGTAGAGAACTGACTGTATGTGAGTATTGAGGTCCAGTCAGCAATAAAAAACAAAACAAACAAACAAAAAAGAACGAAAGAGAAAGAAAGAAAAAGAGAAACTAAAAGAATTAAATTAAAGAAGCTATTATGGAAAACAATCCCACCATAATGGAGGTGTGCAAGGGCCTTAGGACATAAATTTTTGTTGAGTTTTGACCATAAAGCTAAAGCCTAATAAAATTGTGGGTTTTTTTTTCCCAAATAAGCATTTAACAATCAGTCAATTAGAGAAGACAATGACTATTTCTTCTTCTTCCTTCCTCCCTGATTTGGCTTCTTATGTGAAAATTCTCTTTCAGACCTTCCTCCTACTAAGTGAAGTGGAGTTGGATTTCTATCTATTGTTTAATAGATTGACTTCAAACACTTTATCAAGTGTTTACACATTTATAAATTACTGATGAGATTAGAAGCAGTTTGGGTGGGACCAGGAGAATATTCCTTTACACAAAGCTTTCATAGGTACTTTCTGTCTTTGTCATAATTACAACATATCTAACAGATGCAGGACTCCTTAGAAGATGTGCCTAAATTGTTTCAGGATTCCAGAAGCTGCATGCAGGGAGGCTGGTGAGTTTGTTTTATCCACTGATACCAGTTCTATGCTATTGATCTCGTCTAACTTAATCTTCAAGAGATCATAGTGGAGAATACATTGCCCATTGCTCTTATTTGTGTCAGGTTAGCTAAATCCATTGAGATCCCAGAGAGAGGAATCTATGCATAACTGGTGTGGTGGTGACCCCACGACCTTTCTCCAGTCAATTTGGTAACATGGCAGTCATATGATAATAGAGCTGCTGTGTCCACTCAGAACTTAAGATGCAAAGAGCTCCACTTAAGTCTAGTAATAGGATTGGTTTTCCTTCTAAAGAATTAGATTAAATTTAATTTTTAAGGGTATGCTTAGGTTTATAGGAAATTTAGGCAGAAAGAACAGAGAATTCTCAAGTCCGTAGTGTTCACCCTTACC